AACTGATTGAAGAAAGTACTCGTTTAACTTTCGTTCATTCAGTAGCGTTGTTTAGAATAGATCTACCCATAAAAGCTACAAGTGAGGATCTGATCGAAACGCCAACAACAAGGAGTTTATGTCAAATAATTTTGCTATAAGAACAGTGGAGTTTCTGGCTCTGATTCGGCCCTTCAGAAAGCCCATGGTCCAGACGATCACCCTGCTCATTTGAACATGTTCGGGAAACAGACATCGCAAAACGCACGGACACCTTTCCCATAGGGAAAGTGTGAAACAAGTAAATGTTTGAGAAGGTAAAGTAGAAACACTATAACTAAATGAAGGATATTCGCCGTTGATCAATCCTTTTTGGGATGCGGCACGCATTCTACTTCCATTTGTACATTCGTAGTGGCATTTGAATGCGATGTGGCCTATACAATGACTTGCGGGGGCCAGCCGATGTACAAGTCAGTGCTTTTATCCTCCCAAATGAGTCTGTCCTCTATTGTTGTCCTGCTAGTCGAGTCTAGGTACAAATAAAAATAGTTAGGTTTGAGTAAAAACATAAAACTTAGAAATTTTCAGGGAGGGGAATAATCAAGATTAGTTCGTTTACTGATCCCGGAGGGATGAAAGGCTCAGTTGGCTCCTGGCGTTCCCAGAAATTCATCTCCGAACCGCGCGCTTGGTGAGCAGCGCACTAGCCAATACATCTCTATCGCCCACAAACCCTATAAGGCGAGGGATTCGCAAGAATGTGACGTTCAAACGGACGCATCAACCTTTTCCTGGATTTCATTGCTTATCTCTGCAGCATTTTTGTTGTTGTTCTTTCTTATGGTTTGGTTTTACGCATGTCAAGAGAAAGTGGAATTTAATTGCCCTCGGAGCAATGCAGTCTGGTTATGTTGTAGTTAAGGTGCACAGCGGCTGGCGTAAAGAGGGAGGCACAAGTTCTCGGACTACGTTAGAAAAAAGTAGCAATCTCATTGGGCTTTTAGGTTTCTCAATTAACCTTGCTAGGCGGGCGCATCTCGATTGCCCTGTGAGAAATGGTAGTTTTCAATTACAGGGCAAGCGGAAATGAAAAACATGCGGGCTTTATCGAACTTGAAAAAAGAATGAATCAACGGCCGTAGAGTCCTAGAAAATAGAAAGAAGTGACTAGAAGATGACCAATTCCTTTGCGGCGCCCAACGCCTTTGACTCATCTCAGTAGATGAATTTGGACGCACCTGTAGAACAAGATGCACAAAGCAGTGCTAACCAAATCAGGGTTTTTCTCCTTCCCAAACAAATTGTTAACAGAGTGGAAAGCTAGGTTGCTTGGACGGAATTCGATCTCGCAAATCGTATAGGGGCGACACGACGGTACATCTATGTTTACTGTACTCCTCAATCTTGGTAGAACTAATGGGTTCAGTTGACAGTTACCAGATTCTAGCACTTTCAAAAATGTTTCAATGAAGTTCGGATTATCGTAGGATAGTTAACATAAGTCTGATAGTAAATCGAAAAAAGGAAAAGATGGCTTCTATGTGGAAAAAGAAA